GTGGCCGCTGCCAGAGGGCGGCTGCTCACCCGGAGGCGGCGGCGGCAGGCGGCGCGGCGGACTGGGTGCGGCTGTGGTGAGGTCCGTGCGGTTGTAGTCCATGCACAGCGTGTCGGGGTTGCCCTGCTCCGGCAGCCGGTCGCAGCGCATGCGGTCCGGCCAGGCGAAGCCGTACTGGCGCATGAGGGGTGCGCAGCCGGCCTTGGCGCGCTCGCACACCGAGCGGCAAGGAGGCAGGGGCTTCTTGTAGTCCTCCAGGCAGATGGGCGTGTACATGCTGCACAGGAAGAACTTGAGGTCCGGCGAGCACTGGATCTCTACCAGCGGCCAGAATTGGTGCACCTCCAGGCCCGCCTCGTCCTGCGTGTCGTGGTTGAACTGGTTGGGCATGTACGTGTAGTTGTAGCCGATGCCCTTGCAAAGCGGCACGGTAATCTCTTGGCACGCCAGCTCCTTGGCCGAGGCAGCCGCCGCGCCACTCGAGCGCTGCAACAGCGCCAAGGCGGCCAGCAACGAGGTCACTTCCAACAGGTAACCCCACTCCATGCTGCGCGCCTCGGCCCCGCGCCCTCGCCCTCCAGGCGGCGCGCGGAGGGGCGCCGGGGTATTCGGCGAGGGAGCCGGAGAAGGGGAAAGCGGGTGCCCTGTTGGTCTCTCTCCTGCCTCTCCCGGAAAGGGGGTCTGCAGATAACCTAGTCCCTTCTCGGGACGCGTCCGCACAGCGGGGTCCGAAGCCTGGGCAGCGGCGGTGAGGGTTCTGCAGGCGTGCACCACAGTCCCCGAGAGTCTGCCCTGCTGACTCCCGGTCGAACTCAGCCCTCTCGCAGCACAGTGGCTGGTCCCCGGCTCATCGTCCCTCTCTCGCTCGCTTTCTCTCCCGCGCGCCCGGCCACTTCTCCACGAGGCGCCGGCGACGGTGCGGTGACTTTGCCGGGCACAGAGGGCGGCTGCACAGCAAGTTTCCTTTCGGGCCGCGGTGCGCAGTCAAGATGGCTGGGCAGGCCGCTCCCCGTGCCGGGTCAGCCCCTGTAGCCCCCTTTCTGTCCCCGGGGACTCATGCTCGCCCCCAAAGCTGCGCAGCTCTGCCGCCGGAGTTCGGGACCCGCCTCCGCAGAGGCCGCCGCCCTCTTTCCCCGGCGTCGGTCCGTCTGTCCACCGCCGGGACTGACAGACTCCGCCTCCGGTAAAAGTCCGCTCCGCGCTCCGGCCGGCAATCGGGCGAGGTGTAGGCAGACCCCTTCTTGCTAGACACACAGAACCAGATCCAGACCGAGAAGGCGGAGTAGACACCTGAGCGGTGCGGCCCGCGCCCAGCCGCCACCGCCTCCGCCGCCTCCGCCGCCTCCTCCTTTTCCTCCTCCTCCTCCTCGGCGGGAGCAGCGCCCTTCACCCAACTTCCCGGCTCCGGCCCCGCTCGCGCCGCCCGGCCGGCTCATGAATATTTATACAGCGCGGACTTGGTCTCCGCCCTCTGCCGGGTGCACCAATCGCCGGGTGACGGGGCGGAGTCTATGCGCTCCCAAGACTCAGCCTTCCTTAAGGCGGTCCGGAGTGTCCCCACGGCCATGCGCGCTTTCTGCGGCTGGAGAGTTTTGGTAACCTTGGGATTGACCGCAGAGACCGAGGTTTTGCCACGATTGTTGCCACATAGCTCAGTGCGTTTGAGTTCTTGGTTCCCTTCTCCCGAGTCTGCTTTTGTGGACCGGGATGGGGGTTTTATGCATGCGCGTGCTTTTCCAGGCTCGTTCAAACAAGTCACGTCGCTGCCTACTAATGCCCCGAATATAGGTGACCCCATGCCCCTCCGTGAGCTGGGTCGGTGGGGAACCTACGCGCACGCGAGTGCGCGGGAGCCTGACTGGGGTCAGACTCTGCGGCAGAACCGGGAAGGGGTGCTCTTTTTGGGGTTCTTAGAATGATGCTGTTTGAGGCTTGGAAATGTGGGAGGAGTGGAAGGACGCAGTTCATTCTGGATGGTGGGGCTGTACATGTGTGGGGGGTATGCCCCAGGAGGTGTACGGGAGCACAGCCGCCCTCGCCCCAGGGGTGCGAGAGGCGCCAGGCACAAGGGTGGGCCCAGTATTCTCCTCTCGCCTCCAATGAGTGGCCAGGGGAGCCTCAGTTTCCTTACCTGAAGAGTGGGGTAATAGTACGGATTTCAATGGGGGTTCCGATAGGTGGGATAAAGTATGTAAAGCATCTAGGACACAGTGCTTCTTTATGAAAAAAATAATTTCCTTTCAGAAAGAAAGAAAGAAAGAAAAGAAAAAGAGAGAAAGGAGGAAAGAAAGAAAGAAAAAGAAAAGAAAGAGGGAGGGAGAAAGAAAGGAAGAAAGAAAGGAAAAGAAAAGAAAGAGAAAGGAAAGAAAGAAAAGAAAGAAAGAAAGAAAGAGAAAGAAAGAAAGAAAGAAAACTTATAAGTAGGGCAGACTGCGGCTGGATTCTCTCTCTTCGCCTCGTACTTTTGGAACAAATACATGTCTATCCAAAGTTCACGTTTTTTCCAGAGCCTCCTTTTCTACCGTGGGAGGCGGTGCTGAGCCCTGGCGCTGACGCACCGACACGTATCAGTGATCCGCAAGGAGCAGAGCGGGACCTGAGCTGCTTTTAGCAGCCACTTGGGACACCGCCAAGGAGTACTTGCCCCCGCCCTCTCCGCAACTACCTTAAGATGGGGGGGAGGGAGAGGAGGAGGCTCGAGGGGCCGGCGGCCTGGCAGGTTCATTTACGCTTGTTAGGACGTCCCAGGGGGTTGTCTTTCTCCTAGAATGGAGTGTTTATTTTTTAATTGATGTGCTGTTTCATTTAGCGCTTGTATGGAACTCATGCTGTGGTTGTAATTACTGTAATCTCGGGAACAAGCATTTCAGTTAGCCAGGAGGGTGGCAAAATACGTTCTCTCTCTCTCTCTGTCTGTGTCCCTCCCCCTTCTCTCTCTTTCTGTTTCAAGATTTTTGTCAGGTTTCATAGCAGGAACGAGTGGGGCTAGAGAACCAAAGTTGTTGAGGGTGTGGGAACAGAGAAGAATAATTAAGGGTACATTTGAGGCCAGTTCAGTTTTTTGGGGGGATGGTGGTGGTAGTTGGTGGTTATCTTTATAAAAACAACTCTTGTCATGGAACAAAAATAATTAGCAGTATTTGTATATTGCTTGAGCTAATGGAATCTGTGTCTTCCTCCTGTTTTCTCTAGCTTAGTTCAGCAACCTCATTATGCACCATATTCTAAATAGGCAGA